TCCAACTCCTAAAGTTCTGTGATTCTGTGATTCTGCTTTTGCAGCTGATGACACTCAACCTAGGCTAACTCAAGATGCTGTACTATAGCAAAGACCCTCCATAACCCAAAATATCCACATTGCTGGAAAACAAAAGGAAAGGCCCAGAAAGGAAATAAGAGTCCACACATGTTATGTAAATCAAAGCAGATTATTTATTTATGAAAGTGATGACCACTTGTAATGCAGTGACAAGCCCATTTCTTTATCTCTATTGTGAAACCAACTATCAACTCCTGTCTCTCAAAACAACTGTGCTTTGCTGTCATCTGCCTGTTCTACAGTCCCCAGACCACATAATACACACTTCACACTTCTGAGGACAAGGAAGCACCTCTTTGGAGTTCCATAGATAGTTCTTAATTTCATAACTTTTGTGACACAATGAAATCACCCAAAACATCTTTATTTCAATGTTTCCAGTTGCTGGATTTTGAAAGTCACACTAATGTGACTCATTAATCCCATCCCACCCCTCATTAATTAATGATTAATCCTCATTAAGCCCCCCACAAATAAGCAAAGTGCAGTGTTCTTAAATTGCAACAATGGCTCCGAGCAAGAGGCCACCACAGAGGCAATTTTGGCTAAAAAAAAAAAGTGATTAAAAAGAAGATTGCAAAGTATGGTCATTGAAATTCAAAAATAAACCTCTACATATAAAAATACATTGTTACGAGGCACAACAGGAACTACCTCAAGCATCCAACCAACAGGTACCAACCAGGAGAGAAGGGTTCCCATTCCCAAGGCAGCTTGATAGAAGAAAGACCTATCGAGGAACACAAGGTAGGTATCATTACAGCAACCATGACTGCGATACTTCTCCAAAGCCAGCATTGAAGCAGTGCTGCGTGAGCAGCTCAGTGCACGTGCCCACTCTGACACCAAGCAGCAGATGGGCAGTGTCAAGCAATGACGTGTGGTGTGACGTGTCACTATTGCAAGGTGGAAAACCAACAAGGTAAATTTTTCTGTGACAAAAACTGCCAGCCATTGTGGGTTTTTTTCCTGTATTTAAATTTCTTCCAATTAGGAACAGGAAAGATCAAACGTACAAAGCACAAGCAGGTCAGAGAATTAGTGTGAATGGCACAACCTCGAGGCACCAAGCACCCGCAGTGTGCAAGGGCGAGCATGGGTGCAGAGAGCTCTCTTCACCCCAGCGATACAGGCTGCAATCTACATCTTCTGGATTTCGGGCGGTTTCACTGGTGGCCATCCCTGCCATTTATAGTACGACACCAGCTGCTTGGGCACTTCAGCCAGAACCACATGGGAAAGTGCTTCCCGGGGAGCCTGCAAGGACAGGGAGAATAAATCAGAAATACTGCAAAGAAAGGATTTATCAGCCCAGTGTCAAACCCTTACAGATTTCAGAGCGCAGTCCCCCACCTGCCACATCTCACTCCCTGTTTCAAGACCTCATTGCTGCAGGTTTAGAAGCAGTTCCAGTCAGCCTCAGCACGCATTGCTGATAGAAACCGCTTGTTCCCACCCCTGCACTACTCCCATCCTCAAGCCCAGGCACACGTAGCCTTTACATGGCCCTGATCTGGGTGGGAAACTGCCCCAGCCAGTAGGAATTCCTCTTATTTTGGGTTTTCATTCGACTCTACTCTTCAACTCAATTCACTGTGCAATGTGCATGAATGCTTGGGCCAACGGTGGAGGTAGGGAGGAGTGGGGGAAGGACAGGACTACTTTCAACAGCACGGAAGACTGATCGGCTTAAATCACTCATGGGACTCAACATCAGAGACTGACAACGTGCTCTCAGTTCCCTGCCTGAATGTTTGCATCCCAGGAGAGAAAACATCTCCTTTGCTCCTTTAACTCTGCAACAGCCAAGAGACAGTACACCGAATGAATGCTGCAACGAGAGCTCTTTAAGAAAAGCTGCGAGAGAGCTGCAACAGGGCACACTGTTTTGAACACAGAAGCAAACGTCTCAGCTCTCACTGGGAACAGGCAGCTTGGGCAGCACCTTGAGCATGCAGCTTGCTGCCTTGTCTAGCCCCAGGCTCATTTTTCAGACGTACAAACAGCATATCTACTGGCACCAGGACTCTTCTGAAGAGAAAGACAACTTACATTTTTGAACTGTCGGAAAGGCACAAACTGGACAATGTCTCGTGCAGCCGGCTCTCCTGTCAGGGACTTCAGGACACCGTTGTCTCCATCAAGGAACTCCATTGCTTTGAAATCAGCTTCACCAACTCCAACAATAATAATGGACATGGGCAGCTTAGAGGCATTAACAATCGCTTGCCTAGTTTGATCCAGATCAGTGATCTCTCCATCTGTGATGATCAGCAAGATAAAATATTGCTGAAAAACATTAGAAAGCACCCAGAGTTAGGGAGTTCAACACCAAAGCTCACATAACTGAAGGCAAATGGAGCAATTTCTTACTCTAAGAAAGAAATCAGATGGTGCTATGGATAACACCAAGCCAGAACATTAAAGAAGCTTGTAAGATTTCCTCTGTACTAGAAAAAAATGATAGAAGCTTAAATTCAATTTATAAAGAATAATTACATCAATTGGCAGAAAGTAATGGAGATGAGCAAAGTACTACTAAATCAACAAAGCTGCATATAAAATTCATTGATGGATGCTGCTTTGCTCACTGACATCTCAAAAAAGACTAAAGTTTAATATTCGATACCCCTGGAGTGTAACTCAAAAAGCCCTCTGTTTTAATTACCAATAATTTAAATTGTAAGTATGAGAAAACTCAAAACACAGCAGTGACAAATGTCACGACACAGAGACATTCTAGAGATAACAAGATGGGAAGAACACAGGAGCTTTTCTAGAAAGAAAAAAATATCTCAAACCAACACATTAGTGTGGTAAAGTGTTTAAAATGTCCTTCTTTTTCCAGAAGCTAAGGTTTAGTACCTGATTTTGAAATGAGCAACCGCTGTTTTATAGCGGCTATCTACAGACTTAAAATGAAAAAAAATGAGAGACACACAATGAAAATAAAAGAACCGAATTTCCAATTCCAAAACTCAGTTAACACAACTGTTACTATGGTTGTACCCCATTACTGACAGATTCTTTATTCAAATAGTTAGTTTTTCATCTGTAAGAAAAAGTAGAGAAGTTTAACATACAAAGAGAAATAAGAAAATTCCCTCGAGTGTTGAGAATGCTAAAAAATACCCTCAGAAACATAAGAAATGGATCTCCCTAGAGCAAGAACCTCACAGAGTGGGAAATGTACTTGACATACACATAAACATAAGTAGAACCAAAAATACAGCTGGACCACAAAGCAAGTGTGAGAGCGTCCACCAAAATTCCTTCTGATTGGTCTGTCAAAATGGAATCACTTAAATCCATCGGGAAACACAAGTCCTTCATCCTTAAGCAAAAAGAATGAAGTTTGAAGAAATGGAGTTGAATTTTAACAACAGCTATGGCCATGCAAGCACACAAATGAGACCTGCAACACAACTGCAGGGTAGTATGGATGCCCTGCAACCTAATTAGCATTCTGATTTAGCAGTTCTCAGACTCCTTTGTTAATCTGGCCCACTAGATATCCTGATTCTGCAAGCCATCATGGTGGGATGGATAGTTGAGCCCTCTGGTATTTGCCTTGGAGGCAGTCTTTGGGTACATTCTTGAGAACAAAATTGTTTGGAATAAAATATACAGGGCCCCACTATATTGTGCGCATTCCCTACAGGTGATGGAGCTTGGCAAGAGAGGTTGGAGTGAGGCAACTACTGACAGAGCCCAACTGGTCGAAAAGCCAACAGAGCACCCCTGTACATTTCAACAGGAAGTACAATGCTAGGAAACTGTGAAAAAGAGAAATAAATATCACTTGCACAATGGAAACTAGTGTCAATGTCTACCAAGCACAGGTTCACATCAATAAGTACCAAGAGCGTACCAACAGCCTCTCTGTCGGCTGGTCAGAAAGGACCAAACTTGGGATCCTAAGGAACGAAGACAACATCGCTTCACCATTCCATTCTATCCCACCATGAACATGGAAACCAGAAACATCAACCCAGCGCAGGAAAGGACATACTCACTGAAGCAGTTCCTTGTTGTGCTGAGTGCGCTGCAAACCTTGCCACGTGGTTTATAATAGGAGAGAAATTCGTTGGCCCATAGAGGCGGATCTGAGGCAGGATCTGGCGGTAGGCGTCCACTATTCCCTGGATCCCTGTAACACATGGAAGGCAAGCTGCCACAAGAGCCTCACATCTTCTCCAGTAATTATTCCATAAGCGTTACCAAAAGGGTAACAACTCTCACAGCTGGGAACTCCTAAAGGGCAAATAAGCAGCAGGGTAACAGCAAATACGCAAACACAAGGCTGAAAGCAGTGGACACCTGCAGAGATAGGATTTGCAGATTTCTCCTCCATTCTACATCCTTCACATCACTCTTTGTGCCTCTAATATCACAAAGCTCATGGTGGCTGCAGGAAAAATAGTCCAGTGAAGGCACGCCGATGACTATGTCTACCTTGTCATCCAATTTGTCTTGTTTAATTGCTTATAGTCTAATCAGACAACAACGTTAGAAGCTCTCTGGAACAGTAACTTTTCATTTTCTTTGTGTGAAAGTTAAGACAGTGATCCCTGATTCAGGGTTCAAATGTTTCTGTAAAAGAAATAGCAATCCCTAAAGTTTTTCCTATGCAAGAAGTTTTTCTCAGGTTAACTAAACAATTTTTTTAAAAGTCTGATTTTAAACGATGCATATTGTTCTGCGGATCCATCTAAATTGGCCTATTCGTTGCTTGTATGAATGTAGCTTCATTTGCCACTGCTGCTTGCATCGTCCACCAAGCATGCTTTAGTGTGGTACCTCTCAAAACTAACGTACAGGGACCTTTAAAGATCAAAGACACAGATCCCAATGAGGCAGACAATGCTGAACTGACTGAGGAAATGCTTAGATTTTAACACTGAATCTCAGATTCCATTTTTCATTGGCCTTAGACCAATGAAAGAGAGAAAAATTGAACCGAGTTAAAAATGCTTGTTCAAGAACAATTCTGTGTCACTGCATGCTGCGACAGTTCTTAGTCCTATCAGGTCACAATCCAGCTTAGAGAGCAGCCATTCAAAACAGCTGAAACAACCTCCACTAAATATGGCTATAAAGAAGACAAGCTTTTCAGACAACCCTTTAGAAGAGAACATTCAAACTTATACACGTTGCTGATGAAGTAACCATGGTCTCTAACAGCCTTAGCAGACGGTCGTGCTGGAAGCATGACTTGGCACAGGCACAGTGCTGCTCTCAATCCACTATACCTGTGACGTACCAGAAGTAACCAAGTTGCAGCAACAAAAATTTTTGCACAGACTAACAATCAAATTAAACCTAGACCCCTTCACTGGAGCTCATGCAGACTGCACAGAACTCTGCATCAACACATGTCCACTCTTGTAGCATCCAGATGAGAGTCAATCTAGTTTGCCACCATGTCTTGGTGCCGCATCTGTTTTTCACCAGTTATGAAAGAAATACAACACTTCACACATCTGTCCCTCCCAGTGAAATATTAATGAAGAGGTATCCTCACCTTGACAATAAGGATTGCTGGGGTTGAAGTTCAAAGCAAACTCATGAGATACCTAGGAAAGGGGACACTACAGTTAGGGAACGCAGACACGGACAGAGCAACTGCCCAGCGTTATGAAGCCCCTACCTGCCAGCTAGGAGGAACCTGAGCTCCAAACCCAAATGCAGGAAACAGCTTGTCCCTGGAGAGAAATGGCAACAACAAGAAAATAAAAAGAGCAATTCTTTAATAACTCTTCTGTTTTATTTCCAGAAAGTAGCTCAATTCCTGACATAAGGAATGGGTACACCACCTAGCTCCCCATGGCCAGTCTACCAGTTACCCAAGGGTTTCAGGCTTGGGCTTGACAGTTTCAGAATTTCTTGCAGTGCAGCATCCCACAGGACTCTCAGGCTTCAAAGCAGCAAGAGGAAAGCCAACCCAACCACAGCCTGGCTAAAGGACACACATGGTCCTATCAAATCAAACAGGGCATTCACATTTGAAATGCACCATCAGCAACAAGGGATTAACGACAAGCCAAAGCAGCATTTCAGAGTAACCCAGGGCCACACAAGGGCAGACCTCGAGGACCAAACCAAGCAAATATGCCCAATTACAAAGGGCTGCCGCTGCCCTCCCTGGCAGTGACAGAAGCAGGAGGAAGCAGCAGCAGCAGCTCCTGAAGGGATCTCCCAAGGAAAGGCAGCACCTCAGTCATTCAAATGCTGCAGCTCTGGAACAAGCCATCAGCCTTGATCACTGACACCCGCTGTGACACATCTTTGATGTGGTGGCTAGATCAGTTAAGACCATTACATACGTGTCATAGTCCTGGACTACACTTCCCACGCTCCAGATGGCAATCAGGTACTCATTTATCCCATCTGGGCTGATGTAGTGAAGAGAATCTGGTGACCTGGGATCTCCGTTGGAGCCAGTGAAGTCTACACCCACCTAACCAGCCAAGATGATGACAGCAAGTCACTAATGCATCACCATAAGCAAATGAGAGGAACTAACCATACCCAGAAACAGAGGGTTAGACCAGGCTCACATAGCTCCCCTCCTCCCAGGCACACAAGCAGCTCTACACAGGAAGAGGAAAACAAGCCTGCACACCTCTGCCCACTGGGATACACACGCGTTTCAGAAGCAGTAATCCTTTCCTCTGATAGACTGAACAGATTTCTCAAAAGAAGTTTAAGAAAACCTAGTTCCATTAAAGCTGCTACTTGATCACAAAAAGTAAAAATACACTATCGTTTCTTTTCACAGTCTCCATCGCTGCAAATTTACGCTGCACTTGCAGTCATTCACACTGGAAATAAAAGTACTAATTACAACCTCATTGCTCTTGTCCTGTCATCTACCAAGATGTGCGATGGGAAAACAACTCACTGTAAAGTTAATCTGGCAGCCTCCCATGATGTAGTCCAGGAACGAATATTCTGTCTCAATCTAGAGGAACAGACAGACCGTGTTACACTTTCTCCCCACAAGAACAGATTTCATCAGGATCAGAAAATCAAATGAAAATAAAAATAAAACAACAAAAATCTTCCAACCTTGCAGGATTTTATCCTAATAATGCCAGAGTTTTTGTAGCTCTTTTTCTTTTGTTTTTTCTCAGGATGAATACATTCAAATTCCACCTACAGAAAGCAAGCATGCAAGAAGCAAGTTCCAAAAAATCTGCATTTACAGAAGGGCAAATTATTGAAACAGATGAGTGTCAGACATCATGTAATTTCAGAGTTACCCAAATACCTGGCAGAATTCTGAAACTTAATTTTAAAAAGGTTTGCAGCCACTTTGTCCGTTATATGTTTTTGCTACCAGCACTGGGCAAAACATGAGGAAGGACCTCAGAAAAGTCTTTCTCCTCAACAACCTTCTACTCTGCCTGCAACCATGAAATGGTGTCTTTGTACCAGGGGAAAAACATGGATCACAAATACGAGCCTTTCTCTTAACATAATGAGGTTCTTTCTCTGTTAAGTGAAGGGAATGAACTCAAATAGAAGATGAGGAGGCAAAATCTCGGGGTGGGGGAGGCCAAAAAAGCCTAGGCTGCAGGTTCCCAACGGCCTTTTGTTTCACTCACATTAGTTCTGATTTCACATGAGCTAGGGGAAAAGGCAAGAATCTCCCACCAGCTTTAGGACTATGACTACAGAAATCAAGCCGGCTGGCATCTGGAAGCAGTCCTAGGCTATGTCCTGTGTGTGGATTCATCTGTCCAAGTTCAGATGAGACATCTCCAGGAGAATGAGAGTTCAGGTTTCCACTGCAGACAACAGCAAGAAACCAGCACCACCAGCAAATGATTTGACTTATTCTAAACTGGATGCCCAAGGCATGGTAAGAACTGTGCCCTTTGGAAGCACTGCTTCTCTCCGTTAGCTGGAAAGGCCACCAGAGCGCTCATCAGGGTGACCAGCTCGCGAATGTCACCCGAGACAAGTCCTGCCTCTGGACTGATCTGTTAAAGCACGAACAAGCCCTTTTACTTCCACTTGACTCAGCAGAGGCAAAAGCAAGCTGAACTGCTGGGAACAGTGGCTAGCGGCCAGCAGACAACAGGCTCAAGGAAGGATGTCTTTAGGAACAGGAACGGTCACAGTACCCAAGGAAAACAGAGCAATGCAATTCCCACACCAGGTTTTAATCTTCCCAGATGTTGGCTTAGTAGCACAAAGATACAAACAGAAAAAAATCACTTTTGGAGGCAACACCTAAATATGTATGTCTGAGGTTAACATTAAAAAGGGTTCACGAAAGACCAAGCTATGGACTAAGTCAGCAGGGGACTGAGAAAGCTCACCGGAGAGCCGTCACCCGCTTTCTGCAGCTGAGTCAGGTTAGTCTCAAAAGCGCCTATCAAGTCATGCGACCCGTCGCTGTCGTGATCCGCGCACTGCACCTGGAAGGGAAGAGAGAGTGAGCAATGGGCAGGCGTGCTGCTGCAGGGAGAGCGGCAGCTGCTCACCGTGCCACCTGCTCCCCACAGCTCTGCAGCCGCACCAGCAAACTGCCCTGTCACACCTGAACGGCTGGTGTCACCTGTACCACTGACTGAAACCTGACGGTGAGAGGGACACCCAGAGTCAGTCTCAGAAAATGGAGTTTTATCTTTTTTTTTTTTTTTTATTGCTTACCCATTTTAGCACGCACAGTGGAAGTTTTAATTAAAAGCTTTCCCCAACTGAAACACAAGACATTAAGAAAAAAAAAAAACACCACCACCCCACCCCCCCAACCCCAATACTTCACAGCCCAGATGTATAAACGTGAGATCATTCAGGACAAGATATGCTGCTGGGGTAATGGGAAGAAGCAATTAGAAATTCGTTATCTAAGCACTTTCTGAATATACGCTTTTCTTCTACCTAGCAATAGCATCAATTCACAAAGAAGCTGCCACTTCCACAGAGCACTGTCTTTTCCTGCATCTTATACCAATCACATTATAAATACTTAATAACCAGCCAAGTTTAAATCAGCATGAAAGCTTCAGAACTAGACAGTGCAAAAGAGCAATGCATTTAAAAATGAAAATACACTAATAACTATGGCTTAGCCAACACAGTAAGATGTCTATTGTCAATAGCTCCCCACAAAACCAACTATGAGAAGCATTTGTAACACGCACAAACACACGACTGCAGAAACAAGTAATTCCGGCAGCAGTCACTCAAGAAACAGTTTGTGAACAGCTGCTCCCCCCTCGCTGAAGTTCACATGCTACACACATTCAAAAGCTCTCTTTCCAAGATCTGCCTTTGGTAATCAAGAAACTGATGTCACTCCAGTATAAACCACAGTGAGAGCTTTCTCCTCAGGACCAAGAGACAAGATGAACCCATGGGTAACACCTCGATAACGATGACAAATTCAATGGCTAGGTATCTGAATTTGAGACAGGGTTCTTTTAGGACTACTTTGATCCATTAAGGATATTCCACTGGTATCGGTGGCAAACCTGTACAACAAACCGTGTGAATTATGGCCTAATCTAGCCACCTAAATGGGAAGCATCCTATCATTCTTCAGGCTCTTAACGGAAAAACAAGATCACCTTAGAGACTGTGCCCCCTTTTTCCCCCTTTATCCTTCCCAAACGACCACATTTGACTCATCTCTTCTGCATGCTCCACCATGAAGCAACTCTCACCCTCCTGTCTGAACTCCACTCCACCTCCCTCAAGAATTACGATGTTTAAGCATCACTCAAAAGCAACTGGATTATGCCAGGGAGGCCAATGAAGGAGGCTCTTGCACAGAAGCCAGGGAGCCGACCCCCAGTGCAGGGTCTCCTTTGCACCAACATGCCTGGAGAGCTGCAGAGAATTCAGCAGCTGCCGCCTCCACACACCTCCTCTCCCCTCTTGCTTGCTCCCGCTCCCTCCCAGCCACACAAACAAAATTGGTTTTAGGACCAGTTTCATTATTAGTTCACAGCACGATATGGGTTAAAACAAACCTCTTTTTGCAAGGGTTTTCTAAAACTGGCCAAGATTCACTACATGCAGTCCAAAGCATAGCGCTGCTGCAAACAAAACCCTGCAATACTGCAGGACACTGTACACAGTTATTTACTGATGAATTATTTCTTCAGAAATGAACTATCCAATATTCATTATGAGCCTCGGAATGCAGTCAGCAGGTAGAAGGCCCCTTTCATCTACAAGTGGAACTTTAAAAATTCATAGAAAACTGATTTGTCTTTATGTATATGCCGTCAAACACGTGGACTGGCAGCTTTAGTCCCAACACCAACACCCACAAATTTAACATTTGCTGTTTCCATTTAAATAACTACGGGGGAGAGACGCTACTTTCATTTGCCCCTATTTTTAACAAACCTATCAAGATGGTTAGGCTGTGTCACAAATCTGAACAAGAGCATTAGTCTGCCATCACAATGAAGAAAGAATTACCAAGCATCATTAATTTGATCAAAACATTTATGTTCACGCATATTCAGTACACAATCCTCATACATGGCCAAAGCTGATGTTTACAGGATGCATCAAAATGACTGACTACCGTTATTTCACATGTAATTGTTCCTATGTAAATTTTTGGAAGCCTCATACAAGAGGTTCAGAGCAGCAAACATCAGATGAAAAATGAAACACCAGTGCAGTATTACATTCTTCAGTGCCGCTAGTGAAACTCCAGCCTGTCAGCCTGGATTCTCCTCTCTGACTGACTTCCCTAACCCTAACCACAGCAGTCCCACGCTGAGGGATGGTGTGCTAGCGAGGTCCTTCGGTCTGCTGTCTCAGTGGAGATAAGGGATGGAAATCCACGTGGCAGCAAAGATGCATGGTTACAGATGTGTTAAAACCACATAAGCACCTTAGAATGGTCATGCAGGAATTAGGGCTCTTCCCTCTGTGGTTCAGGCCCAGCTGGGAGCAGGGCACCTTGCGGCCACTCACTCAGCCCAACCCCCACGGTGGGGTGGGGAGGAGAGTCAGGAGAAAAGGGCCAAACCCCACAGGTTGAGATAAGAACAGTTTAATGGAACAACACAGAGAAGAAACAAGGATAACAACAATACTAATGAAATAATATATATAGAGAGTGAGAGACGGAACACAACGGCCCACTCATGCCTTCTGCCGCTCCCATTTATATACTGAGCATGATGGCTGTCCTGGCTGTGCCCCATCCCAGCTTCTGGTGAAAATTAACCCTATCCTAGCCAAACCCAGGACATTATCCACCCTTTATTCTATACCATCTATGTCATGCCAGATTCTATACTTTGGGGTTCCATCTGTCGGAGGTGTTTCTGGACTGCTGCATGCTGCACCTGGAGCCCGCGGCTGGTGTGTTTCACATGGGCCATGCTCACAGTCTGAAGGCCGAAGATGTTGATCTTGAGGGAGTTGCTGGGCACCAGTTGCTGAAGCCAGTTCAAGCTCCATCACCGCTGATTCTCACTCTGTTTCATCGAAGTCCATCAAAGTCCCTCCCTCGTTGATTTGAATGACTCTCACTGTAACACCACTGATGTGACATACAGCAACTGCGGTAGTGGAGACATACCACTGTAGGGTTATTTAGCAATTAACATCATACAGTTTAATTCACTGGCTATTCTCACCCAACATTAAATCCCCTTGGGGTATGCATCGAACTTCCCCATCCTCCCGCATCACCCACCAAGTGCACCCAGGTCCTTGAGCAAAAGCAATTCCAAGGATGGGTTTGCCTTTGCCTGTGGCAGGACTGACCCAAACTGTCTTTCCTAACGTGTTCTTCCTGTGCAGTGCAGGGACTTTATCCCCCTCTACAGTAGGTAGGAGGTTTGATTGGGCACGGCCAGCTCAATTGGTAGATCCTTAGTGTTTACTAACCAGGTGGCTTCTGCTACATGTGTATCCCCACATCTGAAGGTCCCACACCCCCATTCCTCTCAGTGTGGTTTTTAGCAGACCATTGTACCATTCAATCTTCCTGAAGGCTGCTGCACGATAGGGAATGTGATATACCCACTCAACGCTATGCTCTTCAGCCCAGGTGTCTATGAGGTTGTTTCAGAAATGAGTCCTATTGTCTGACTCAATCCTTTCTGGGGTGCCGGGTCGCCATAAGACCTGCTTTTCAAGGCCCAGGAGAGTGTTCTGGGCAGTAGCATAGGGCTCAGCATATGTTTCCAGCCATCCAGTGGTTGCTTCCACCATTGTAAGCACATGGCACTTGCCTCGGCGAGTCTGTGGGAGTGTGACATAGTCAATCTGCCAAGTCTCCCCATATTTGTATTTCAGTCATCACCCTCCACACCACAGGGGCTTCAACCACTTGGCTTGCTTGATCGCAGCGCATGTTTCACACTCACGGATAACCTGTGCAATAGTGTCCATGGTCAAGTCCACCCCTCTGTCACGAGCCCATCTGTATGTTGCATCCCTTCCTTAATGGCCTGAGCTGTAATGGGCCCACTGAGCTATGAATAATTCACCCTTATGCACCAGTCCAAATCCACCCGAGACACTTTAATCTTAGCAGCCTGATCTACCTCCTGGTTGTTTAGAGGTTCTTCAGTGGCCTTACACTTGGGTACACAGGCATCCACGATGTACTTTCACAACCACATTCTCTACCCAAGCAGCAATATCTTGCCACAATTCAGCAGCCCAGATGGGTTTACCTCTGCGCTGCCAGTTGCTCTGCTTCCACTGCTGTAACCACCCCCATAGAGCATTTGCCACCATCCACAAGTGAGCACAGAGATAAAGTACTGGCCACCTTTCTCGCTCAGCAATATCTAAAGCCAGTTTGATGGCTTTCACCTCTGCAAACTGACTTGATTCACCTTTTCCTTCAGCAGCTTCAGCGACTCATCCTGTGGGACTCCACACAGCAGCCTTCCACCTCCAATGTTTTCCAAGAATGTGGCAGGACCCATCAGTAAACAGGGCATATCACTTCTCATTATCTGGTAGTTTATTATATGGTGGGGCCTCCTCAGCACGTGTCACTTCCTCCTCCTCCAACATTCAAAAAATCTTTGCCTTCTGGCCAATTTGTGATCACTTCCAAAATTCCCAGGCAGCTAGGGCTCCCTATTCGAGCCCGCTGTGTTATCAGTGCGACCCACTTACACCACGTGGCATCAGCTGCACGGTGTGTTGAGGAGACTCTCCCTTCGAACATCCATCCCAGCACTGGCAGTCGGGGTGCTAAGAGGAGTTGTGCTTCAGTTCCAACCATTTCTGAGCAGCTCAAACTCCTTCGTATGCTGCCAGTATCTCTTTTTCAGTTCGAGTATAGCAGGTCTCTGATCCTCTGTATTCCCAACTTCAAAACCCTGGGGGTCGGCCTTGGGTCTCCCCGGGTGCTTTCTGCCAGAGACTCCAGGCAGGGCCATTCTCCCTGGCTGCAGTGTAGAGCACATTTCTAACATCTTGTCCTGTCTGGACTGACCCAAGGGCTACTGCATGAACAATCTCCCGTTTAATTTCGTCAAAGGCTTGTTGTTGTTCAGGGCCCCATCTGAAATCATTCTTCTTCCGTGTCACTTGATAGAGAGGGCTTACAATCAGACTGTAGTCTGGGATATGCATCCTCCAAAAACCCACAACACCTAAGGAAGCTTGTGTTTCCTTTTTACTAGTTGGTGGAGACATGGCTGCTATCTTGTTGATCACATCCATTGGAATCTGGCGACACCCATCTTGCCATTTTAATCCTAAAAACTGGATCTCCTGTGCAGGTCCCTTAACCTTACTTTGCTTTATGGCAAAACCCGCCTTCAGAAGGATTTGAACTCCCAGCGAGAGATACAGAACTCAACGGCTCACCACCCAGATGGCCCGCTGCACAATAGTATCGAATACCCCTTAGCTACTTCGGTTTGGCTATCCCGCTGTACCCCTTCTCCGAGCTTCTGGTGAAAATTAACCCTATTCTAGTCAAACCCAGGACACCCTCCAAAAAGGTGGCGGGATCAATAGCCCAAGTGAAGTGCATCTACACCAATACACACAGCATGGGCAACAAACAAGAGGAGATGGAAGCCATTGTGCAGCAGGAAAACTATGACACAGCTGCCATCACAGAAACATGGTGGGATGACTTGCAGTACTGGAGCGCTGCAATGGATGGCTATAAACTCTGCAGAAAGGATAGGCAAAGAGAGGCAGTGGGGTAGCCCTGTATGTTACAGAGTGTTTTGATTGTCTAGAGTTTAATGAGTGTTTATGGGTAGCAATCAGGGGGAAGGCCAACGAAGACATCATAGTGGAAGCCTGTTAGAGACCACCCAAAAACGGCGATGAGGCAGATGAAATATTCTATAAGCAGGTGGGCCAAGTCTCACAATCACTAGCCCTTGTTCTCATGGGCTACTTCAACTTAACAGATGTCTGCTGGAAATACAATACAGCAGACAGAAAACAGTCCAGGAGGTTCCTGGAGCATGTGGAAGATAAATTCCTGACACAGCATGTGAGGGAGCCAGCTGGTGAAGGTGCCCCGCTGGACCTGTTGTTTGTGAACAGAGGACTCACGGGTGATGTGGTGGTTGGAGGCTGTCTTGGCCATAGCGATCACGAAACGGTAAGAGCTTTCCATTCTCAGAGAAGTAATGAGGGGGGCCAGCAGAACTGCTACCTTGGACTCCTGGAGGGCAGACTTTG